CTGAGCATTTACAAGAAATGGCAGCACTTCTTTAAAGCAGCACAAAGCTCCCCCTCCCCTTCAGTTCAGTTTTGCTGGGCTATCTTCAAGTCTTATGTTTGGCAGGACTTTGAGGAAGAAGTGAGATGAAGGGAAACGATAACAAACACGCCTACAAATGTTACTCAGTCCCACCTTATCTGAGGAAGATAGATAACAGTGTTCTTGGCAGGAATTTGAGGAAGATGCATCAATCACTAAAAGAAGAACTTGATCACAAACACACACAAAAAAAACACACGTACAAAAAACACACCTACACACACAAAATGAAAGCCCCATGGAGTAACTGCATCTTAACATGAATCTCAGAGTGAGGTTAATTTAAGTTGAAGTCTTTCCATCACAAATACAGAAATGACATTTCCAAAAGGTATATATCTCAAATACAGATGTATAAATACAAGGTGTCATAGGCCCCAATCACCGTGGTAAACAGTGACACACACGCATGCGTTGTCAACTATGTGTTTCTATGAAGCAATAGCTGCTCTCAAGTTCAAGACTGTCCATCACAAATACAAGATTCAATCCAAGAATATGAATCTAAAATGCAGAAATAAGAGAAGTGATATCTCAATTGAACTCATCATGCTATCAGCCTCATCAGCCACCACCAGTGTCTGGACTCCACGGGGGGGGGGGGAGTTATCTTGTTTCCCTTCTGTTATAAATGGTGCTTGTTTACAATCATGTAATGATCATCATGTAATCAGGACTACACCCTATGAACTGTGCTGCATGCTTCCTGTGTGTGCTCCATTTTATAGCCTGCTGCTGTCAAGGACTCACGGGTTGCGTGAGAATAAAAAGGGAGTGCACTGTCTGTGCTGCCCTTAAAGCTGGCAGAGAGAAGACGCGGGAAGTAACAAGTTTTTGGTTTCTGAAGACTCTTTTAAACAGTTTATTTCAACTTTCCTTTTAAAGAAACATTTTTAGTCCGATAAGTCGAACGTCACAAAGGTAGGCGGCAGTATTTGTTCTATTTGTTGTGTCATAAAGAGACTGTGTTTGTGTGAGGTCTAGTTTAAGTAAAGTATACGTGGCTGTCGTGTGAGTCTATGGTTTAACGGTTCTGCTTATATGTGCGTAAAGACATTTCTCAATTTTACTCTACATACTCAGTACTGTTTAAACGTGTTCAGTCACCGAGAGAAGTTATTTATGCCAACAATAACGTAGCTTAAACAACAAAACACCGATAGAATTAAAAAGTTCAACATAGTATGTTTTTTTTGTACCAGAAGTATTTTCTTATATCATGCCATGTAAAATATTTTCAGCCAGCTCTTAGTTTTGAGTGCAGAGGATATAGAGAATCATAACGAGTAAACAGGATGTGTTTAAGCATTTTAAGCATATGTCACCTGTCAGTCAAACTTCTTCTCTGTTCTTCCTTCTCATTGCAGATCAAGGACAAGATGGCTTCAAAGCAGGGACAAGGCTGTAAGTGGCTTTCAAGTAACAAGGATTACATCCTTAAGCAGTGCGGGAATATTTTATTTAGGAATGAGTTTCAGATTTTTACAAAATCAAACCAGTGCATTAGACAAGATGAAGGTGCTTTTGAGAATAATAATTCAGAAAGTAGGAGACACCTGTCAGCGCTGTAGGTAAAGATTACCTGGTACCATTCCTGTATACGGCCCTACTCTGCACTGCACAGACCGTGAGCGTCTGGCTTCAATCAAGTCAGAGATTCAAGTTTGTCTTTTCTATGAATTGTCGTTAAGTTTCTGAATTGTGATTGTTATTAATATTTACATGGTCACCAACAGTGAGCGCGAAAGGTTACAGTGTTGCCACCGCCAGAGACATCAAAGACCTAAAAGGAAAAAACCTCAACTTAAAAGTTGAAACAGGTAGTAGTCAGACTCGTAAGCTTTCATATTTCTTTGTTAAGCTCATTTACAACTCCATGAAACTCCACTTAATGGCAACATTTGAACTGAACATGTATTTGTTCTTCCTTCAGGAGGTGGGGACACTGTGCTTTGCGCTGATAAAGTATCTGGTGTCGCTGTTGAAGGCGATCTCGATTTCTCAGTGAACACGTCCACAGCTGGTGCAGGTAACATTTTCCCAACTCATTACTATCAATCAGTTAGACATTTGTTCTTTCAGGACATTTCAGAAAATCCTAACACTGCCCTCCTCTCAGGTACGGTGACACACACAGTAGTGGTAGAAACCCTCACACAGTAAAATACACTTTGACGGGTTAGTTTGTTTTTTCTAATTACCCATAGTGGGACAAACCAAGAACGTTTCATAAATACTTTTTATAGCAGCCTCATATCACTCTTGCTGAAACGCACATGACACATGTTTAACGTTTTTAAAACATAACGTTTGTTGCTGTGCTTCACTCGTTTTGAGCAAAGCTGCTTCTGATCCAATGGACATCTGCTAAGTGAGCTGAGTGAAACAAAACTCATCCCATCCACCACATTTCTATACTCACTTATCCTGTTGAG